GAAATTTGACCGTATTTTTTTTAAAAAGTCAAATTCCGGGGGGGGGATGATCGCAGTTGGAATTGACTAGTACATTTGATTTTAGTTCGCACTTCGCAGTTGCTGAAATTTTGTTTGACTCAAAAAGTAGAAGACAAAAACAACTGAACATGATTACGTAATTGATATGTTTGTAATATTTCGTCCAATTGCAACGAGGAATGATGACGTGTGCATACGCCTTTATCCAATCAGATTAAAGAAATACAGCGATAGCACACGTCAGCAAGTTGTTCCTAAATTTTTATAAACTTTTTAATTATTTCATTTGCGACTTGCGAGAATTTTTCTACAGCCACAGAATAGGAAGGTATACGAGAAGTCTCACTCAAGCAAGTATTTGTCCGCGTTTTTACAAGCGATTCGTCATCAATCACGCCATCCTGGCTAGTACAACCGGCACTTTGTACCTACCAAAACCTTATAAAAACTTCCGGCTGTACTAGCCAGGATGGCGTGAGTGAGTTAAAATTTTCGTGGACGTAAACACCGACTCAAGTTACAGTTCTCTGCTATACTTTCCTATTTTGTGCTACAGCTGTCCATTTCAACTCATCTAATTTTATTCATCAGAAATAGCTGTATAGACGGCTAAATGCGGCAAAATAATAATTTTGATACAAACATCTCCATTGTTAAATATTCATATATAGAGCGATAATATAATTGAGGAAACTGCTTTTCACGGCCGAATTAGCCAAACAATAAACAAAGTCTGTAAGCTGTGAACAAGTCAAATGAATTTGTTATTAACTTGCAGCAAGTCTGCAAATGTCAAGTTGCAACAAGCCTGATTTTAACAGCCTTGCTGCAAGTTGTTTTATCAGACTTGTCAAGACTTGTTATCCACAAGCTTGCTGCAAATTGTTTGAGCAAGCCTGCGGATAACAACTTGCAGCAAGTCTGATTTTCTCAACTTGCATCAACATTGATGCGTTCATCAAACTTGCTGCACGTTGTTCCATCAGACTTGTCAAAACTTGATATCCACAGACTTGACACGAGTTGATGAAACAAGTTGCATCAAGTCTGCAAATGTCAACTTGCAGCAAGCCTGATTTCAACAGGCTTGCTGCAAGTTGATGACGTCAACAAGCCTGCTGCAACTTGTTGACAACTTGCAGCAGGCCGGTAAAATCCGCAACTTGCAGCAAGTCTGTGGTGTTTCTGGCTGTGTCCCACTACACACGTAAAAACGCACAGATTGTTACACGTCTGCCAACAAGTTGTTACAAATCTGTTCACAAGCTGTCGGCAAGTTGTGTTCGCACTACTTGTTCCCAGTTGTAACAAGTTTGGAACAAGCCGTTAACAACTTGTAACAAGCTTGATGGCATTATTCTAACACGTCTGATACAATCATGATATAACAAGAATGTTACAATGTTGATGACACAATGTTGATGACACAAGGTTGTAACAATATTGTTATATCATGACTGTATCGGACTTGTTGGAACAACCTTGTAACAAGTCTGATAATATCAACAGGGTTGTTACAAGTTGTTGCCAGCTTGTTCCAAACTTGTTGACAACTTGGGACAAGCAGTGCTAGCACAACTTGTTGACGGCTTGTTGGCAGACTTGCTACAAAATGTGAGATTTTTACGTGTGTATCTTTCTTCATTTTCCCATTCTACCCATCCATTCTTATTTCCTATCATCCAACTTTTCTTGTCTCCCTTTTCCCATTTTCCCCTACTTTGCTTCTTATTGACCTAAGGTAGATCCTCTTATTTAATGTATTTAGGAACTATACAATGGTCGCATAATTAAATACGTAGCTTCAGGACGAGTTCACTCATGGAATGAATCTTGGGTCTACGATGGAACAGCGAAAGATGCTGCACGTGCAGTTGCGAACTGCACACTTGATGCAAGTTGTGAACTGCAGACTTGATGCAAGTTGTGAACTGCAGACTTGCTGCAAGTTGTGAACTGCAGACTTGATGCAAGTTGTGAACTGCAGACTTGATTCAAGTTGTGAACTGCAGACTTGATGCAAGTTGTGAACTGCAGACTTGATGCAAGTTGTCAAAAAACTGAGCGAGGAAAATGCTTTATGAAGCCTCGTGTTCCACTATTTTGAACAAAAAACGGCCAAACAGGTTGCCATATTTCGGTTGCAGTGTTTTGTAAAGTAACAAGACTTTTATATAACAAACTTGCGAGATAATTTTGGAGCAAAACAATTCTTATTGTAAACAATTTTCGTCAAAATTAATTGATCTTTAAGTGCGACCGAAATATGACAACCTACTTGCATATTTTTCTTCAAAATAGTACATACACAAAGCTTCAATAAGGCGTCTTCCCCCGCTCGCAGATTTCACTTGAAATTTGGAAAGAAGTAACGAATTTCATATTCATATCAACGATGAAGAACGTTGAACACTCGGTTGTTTAAAGGCACAGTTCAGCCTTTTGAATGATGGTTTTTAAGGCGCATTTCAGCCCTTTTAATTGAAAAAACTAACTAGGAAAATCAACAGGGGCGGCGCTAACCCTCTTCGAGTGGGGGGGTGTGAGTGATCTTTTGCCGACTGTTGTTTGGTAATTTTGCCGAGTCAAAAAATTTTTTCCGGAAAAATTATTTTGGCGACCTTCCCCCCCCCCCCCCCCCCTCCTTTCGGTCAGTGTACCATTTTAGGGATCAAAAAAATTTTCCGGAGAAGCAATATTTTTCGGAACATAACACATATTTTCGAAAAATCACAAAATTTTCCAAAAAATTAACTTAATTTTAGACAAAATTGACATAATTTGTCCGATTTTTTTTTATTGCAAACCAAAATCGCCCGACTGTTGATCGAATATTTTCCGA